TGTCCCCTGCCACCTGGAGAATGAAAGCCTATGGGGTGGAGGAGATCAAAGCTGAGATCAGGGCAGAGAGGAGCTCTCCAGGGGTCTTCCTGGCATGGCTCCAGCCCTCACCAGCTGTGCCTCTGCCCTGCTCCAGCTAAGCCAATCAAGGCCCTCTGTTGCCTGAGTGCTTACAAATTGGGTTCTGAACTTTATGACAGATAGAATCTGAATAGCACAAGGCCTGTCATGTGCCTCTCACAATAGATGACTTGATAAATTAGTGGTCCATGCTCTCTCATCCCTTCCTGTTGTCTTTGAATATGTACCAGCTAGTGGGGAGGTGCCAGCCATGGTTCTGACTTTTTAAAATCTTATGAGTTATAAATGCATTTCCTTGGCGAGCATAGACTCAGAGCAAGGGGGGCTGGTGCCTTATCCAGCTCCAAGTGTGGCTGCTCTTGCCACCAGAACCAGCCCCCCAACCCGATGCCCACAGCCAGAAGCCAATCCTGCCTCCATGGAGTGCCCCTCTCTTTAAAATTTAAAGAGTTTAAAACCAGCCCGGGTGGTGGGAGGGGCAGACAACTTTATTACAGGAGGGAAAATGAATGGGAGGGAGGCCTGAGGGAGATAGGAGCGTATGCAAGGGACAAGGGATGGGGAGAGCCTGGGAGCGAGGATCTTGGGGGCGGGGAGTGAACTGGCAGGGTCCTGAGGAGTCAGAGGGACTCGGGCTTCTTCCAGCCCCGGTTTGTGTAGCGCTATCTCTGTGCATGGTCAATCGAGATATCTTTTCCAGGCATTTCTCCTGTTCAGCTACCCAACAGGAGGAGTTAAGATTATTATTCCCGTTTCACAGATGAGAAAACTAACACCCAGGAAAGAAAAGTAACTTACCCAAGGTCACCCTGCTGGTAATGGCAGAGCTGGAATTCGAATTCAGATCCGGCCAACCCCGGATTGCTCCACCCCCACGCCGTTCCGCGCACCGCTGAGCGAGGCCCGGGCCGCCTACAACCCCGAGGCCGGGTTCGCGCACCGAGGGCCCGGTGAGCGGCGGGGCGGCCGTGCAGAGCGGTGAGTGCCCGCCCTCCTCCGCGGGCCCGCGGGCTCGCTGGGCCGTGCCGGGAGACGGAGCCTCCCCGCGCCGGTCCCCGGCGCCAGCGGAAGCTCTGGAGGGACCGCGGGCCGAAGGGGCGGATGGGGGTCCGGGGGCCGCCTGGAGACCCGGCGGAGGGAGGGGAGACCCGTGGGAGAACGAGCGGAGGTGGCTCCACCGGTCCAGAGAGAGAGGGCGTGGAGAAGCCCCTACCTCCCAAGGCCAAACATTGCCAAGGAGCCGTTGGGACCGGCGGGGCGGAGTGTGGGGGCGGATGGCCAGAGGCTGGCCCATCTCTGGGTCTGGAAACTGTCACTGTGGCTTTGGGGTCACGGAAGGGCCAAGGAGGGTTGTCAGCGGGAAGGAACCTCTGACCAAATCTAGGTCAGTTTGCAGCCCGAGGAGCCACCAATTCCTGGCGGGGGAAGTGGGGAGTGAGGCTCCCCGCGTCCCAGACGGTGCCCCGCGGGTCTCTTTCCCATTCCAACCCGGGATGCACTTCATGTCGCCCGCCTCTTCCATTGCGCAGCATAGTTGCCAGCTGTCCCAGGGGTGCGCAGTGCCTGGGCAGGTGACAGGGCTGCACTTAGGCTGCTCCAGGGTGGCTCAGCTCGGAGGGGCCCCGGAGTGAGGAAGCTCCACCCAAGCCTGTGGTTCACAGATGCAGGTCCAGGCTCCACGAGTCTGCAACTCTTCTACTTTCCAGTGTCATGGTCCTTCTTAAAATAATAATTAAAACAATGGGCATGGGGACAGGCGCCGTGGCTTAGCGGTTAAGTGCACGCGCTTCGCTGCTGGCGGCCCAGGTTCAAATCCCGGATGCGCACCGACGCACTGCTTCTCCGGCCATGCTGAGGCCGCGTCCCACATACAGCAACTAGAAGGATGTACGGCTATGATATACAACTATCTATTGGGGCTTTGGGGGAAAAAAATAAAAGGGGGAAAAAGATAAAATAAAAAAAATAAAACAATGGGTGATAGTAGATGATGGTTGTTTTTGTTTTGTTTTGAATGCCTTTGACAAAACAAAAAGTTGGCAATCCTATGTTCCTCCATTCGCTCTCCCTTTCTCACACATGCAAATGAACATACCTATTAAAAAAAATTCACCCGTTCCACTGAATTCCAAATTTGGGAATCAGCAGACTGAACTGCTGGCCATGGGCAGCCGGTGAGGTGGGAGGGGCAGCCATGCAGGATTCTGGTCCCTGTCTCTGCTCTGACTGACTGTGGGATCCTGGAGGAGTGATCCTTCTCTTCAGCTCTGTTTCTTCATCAGTACAAGGGGATCTACAAATCCCCCTTGATATTAACATGTCTATGGTCCTTTGAGTCTAGCCTATATCAATGTGTCCCAAAATTGCATATCCCTGGGGCACAGTTGTCCAGTACCAGCACTAAGGACTGTTGCATGCAGGACCCTGGCCTATCCCTGGGGAAAGGCCAAGCCAGTGCTCCTCACTGGAGAGCAGCCAGGCCCCGGGGGACAGACAGGTGGTGGTGCACTGGGGTATGCCTGGCCCCGCAGTAACCCCAGGCAGGGGAGTGGAAAAGATCGTACTGTGTGACGTGTTTATGTGTCTCTCTCCCCAGTAGTTACCAAGAGCCTGGAATTCCTGTTTTTTTCCATCCCTGAATCCCCTCCATTGGCATAAGCTGGGCATGAGGCGTCCAGGAAGTGCATAATTAATTTTTGTGGAGAGAGTGGATGATGGCTGGTGGCTGGAAGGGCTGCATGGAGTAGACAGGACCAAGCTGAGCTTTGCAGGAGAGGTGGGATTTAAAAGGCTTAGAGGAGCAGAGAGGGCACCCGCAGGGATGGAACCCAGCCATGGAGGCTGGAGGTGCTTGGGGGTGACTGCAGTGTTCCAGGAGCAGAGGGAGACATGGCGGGGGTGGGGGCAGGAAGGGTGGGTGCTTGGGGAACTTTATGAAAGGAAAACTGAGAAGATGAGGAAGGCTGATGAGATGCAAGTGGGAGAAAGGGCGAAGCCAGCATGAGCTCTGGGCTAGAGTTTGAGTGATAGAGAATGATTGAAATTGGGAAGACATTAAGGTCAGTTTTAGACGAGTTGAGGTTTGGCGGGGGGACAGGAAGGGGTTCAGACCATCAAATGAAAATGTCCAGGGTACTCCATCCCATCCAGAGGACGAGGGTCAAGATGTAGCCATGACACCTAGCTGGAGAGTCTTAGTGCTAGGACTGCTCAACGCTCTCTGGTTCAACAGACTTCATCATTTGAGAGCAAAGGAAACTGAGGTCTTGAAGTTCAGGTGGCTCGTCAGTACGGCCTGGAGAGTGGATGGAAGATTGAAAGGGGAGCTTTAGAGAGAGGGAAGGATAAAATTTTTCAGGTGGGAAGAATAGAAACTAGTGAATGACAGAAAGGAGGAGAAAGCACATCAGAACATTTCCAAAGCACTCTGACGGCATTCAAAGAGGAAAGTTGTTTACCCATTTATAAACAGCATATCTGGGTGGGAGGTACAGGAGGGCACCCACACCTCTGCCCTCTGCCGTTAGCTTATTCTGCTTCAGTGGTCAGTAGTTCTCAAAGACACACTCCTTGCCCCCAGCTGCAGTGAGCGGGGTCTGCATCGGGGTCATGGAGAGACCTGGGTGCCTGGGCACTGAGCACAGGTGTTTGCACAGGATGCAGAGAGGAGAGAGAGGCGCCCTTGCTCTGAGGACCTTGTCTTCTGCATTCACCATGCACATCTTGAAACCTTGGTGCTGCTAGCCACGGCCCTGCTTAGGCAGGAGTCTCCTGGCCTGGCTTTGAGCATGACTTGAAAAGAAGGGCTGTTGTCTTGGAGTGCCCCTCATCTCCCTTGTCATGTCTCTCACCTCTTGATGCCCCCCTCCTGCACCACCAGGTGGCCAGGGTCATCACAGTGCCATCTGGACACCTCCCGACCAGGCCTTCCCTCCCTGCAGCACCCCAGGCTCCCATTCACCTCCTCTCCTTCCCCCACTCGCTCCTCTCCACGTCAGGAAAACTCATTCCTCAGGGCTGCCACGCTTGCAAAGGCAGAGAGGAAAGCAGACTATTGAACAAATGTGATCTTAGGTTGTGAATGGCCACTAGCCTCTTTTCCCACAGGGATATTTGAATTTTAGGAGAACTCTGCCCCTGCACCCCCCAACTTTAACCAAGCACCTGAGCCCCAAGCCCTGTGAAGGGCTCGGTGTGCGTGATTTCATTTGTCCCTCCTACTGACCTCACTGGGCAGGTGTTACATCTTCCCTTTCCCACATGGGGGACCCAAGCTCCTGAGAGTTTTAGCAAGTTCCCCAAGGTTACACAGCTAACAAGTGATAAAGCTGGGACAGCAGTCCAGGGCTTCTAAAGCCAAGTTCAACCAGCACTTACCTTCCACATCGCAAGTGCTCACTCAAAAGAAGACATCTTAATGACAGATGGTGGTGAAGGAGAAGATACGAGGGATCCTTAACTGAGGGCCTTGGCCTTTGGGCCTAGAGGGCACCTAGGGCTTCAGGAGGCTCTGTGAACTCTAAAACTATTTGTAAAACTTTCTGTGTGCGCATGATCTGCTCATTTTTCAGCGGAGGGCTCCTTTCAGCTAGGTGGACCCCTGTCCATCTAAACCCCGGGTCTTGAGGTAAGGATGCCAGCCACTGAGTAAAGGCACTTCAGACCCTGGTCTTAATATCTCCCCCTGGTCCTCGTTCTGAAATCTCAAAAGGCAAACAGCTGACTGTGACAGAGGGCGGTGGAGAGGTCCTTCTGTGGCCAGTGAGTGTGTGTTAACAGAATTGAGTGGTTAAAACTTTAGAGCTGGGAGAGGTCTTGGGGATGGCCTAGTCCAACCTCCTCAGTTTACAGAGCTGGATATTGGAGCTCAGAGAAGGCACCCCACATGCCCAAGATCATCCACTGAGTTAGCGGCAGAAAATGTTTTATGCGTTTTTAGGTCCACTGAAGAGGTCTGAAGGCTGCAAAGTTTATCGAGGCAAAGAAATCACCACTTACCGAGCCTCACATATATGCTAACATTTCTGCAGGCATCGTCTCCCTGACCCTGTGCTGCGTGAGAATTGGGAGTAGGTGCCCTGCCTCTTGCTCTCACTTTCCCTTGCACGGGTGATGCTGACTTTAGAGGACAAGGACATGAAGGGATTCACATGGGCCACAGCCCTGGCCTTCACCTCCCTGGCTACCTGCTAATACTGGTGGTCTTTGTCTTCCCCTTTTGGGTGTGGCTGGTGAACGAGGAGTCCCATGAAGTGTTTTTCAGTGGCCTGTTTGAGAACTGCCTTGCTATCAAATGCTGGAAGCCTCGACACTTATCTAGTAAGGAGGGATGGAGGCGGGGACTAGGAAGAGGGACATGGGGCCAGCATGGGGTCTGGGGGGTGACAGAGGACTGGTTGGGGCAGAGAGGACAGAATTTAAGAAGCCCGTAAGGGCATTTTCTCTGAGCCTCCACTCTCTTGTGGTAGAGGAAAGTAGGCAGCTGGGAGGAGGTTAATAATGTCAGGCTGCCCATTGGAGTCAGGAGCACGTGTGTCAGCAACACAGTTTATTTCTGGGGTAGGAGTGGCTCCACCTAGGATGGGGGAGGGGTCCTGCCCTACTCTGGAGCCTCCACCACCTCTCAGGGCTGCCCTTAGCCCATATAGACAGCACCCTTTTGGGTGGGCACAGCTCCTGATTAGCAGAGTGCAGGCTGGATTTCAGCCCCCACTTGTTCCCTCGGCCACACACCTGTCCAACTGTGGGTGGCAGCTCTGCAGATAATGTGCTCAGGCCTGGGTATCACATTTGCAAGGGAATATGCACAAATGTACGAGTTCAGTGGACTGTGAAGGTGCTGGCTCTCGGGACAATGTTTTACAAGGAAATCAGACGGGTAATGAGGTTGTCTGTCTTGGAAAAGAGGTAACCCTGGGAGACTTAGGCGCTATCTCCTGGTAATAGGAGAGGAGAGGCCACTTGGGGGAAGATGGGCCAGACTTTTGTGAGCTCTTTAATCCAGGGTTCCTCAACCTTGGCACTACTGACATTTTGGGCTGGATAATCTTTGTTGTGGGGCTCTCCTGTTTCTTGCAGGATGGCTAATAGCACCTCTGCCCTCTTCTACCCACTAGATGACCCCCCTTCCCTTAGTTGTGACAACCAAAATTACCTCTTGGCATTGCCAAATATCACCCCCAGCTGAGAACCACTGGTTTAACCCAAGGGTAGATTCTAGAATATCTTGGTCTTCAACACACATTTGTCTCTTTGTCCCACCCCCAGCTGTCCATCTCTGTATGCTCGGGAGGGTACACAAACTCATTTTAACATGGGTCTGAATCATACCACAGTAGGAGAATAAATCACTCTGTCTTCAAGACTCTGGCTCTGCTATTTTGGGTCTATCTGTTTCATTCTTTTCACCAGGATAATTATATAGGAGTGTGGGGGTTTCCCGCAGAGTTCAGAACATCTTGACCTCACCGAGTTCTGATTTTCCACTGGTGACTTATTTCAGTGTAACCAATACCGATGCGATCCTTCACATTTCCACGGGCAACAATTTTTATCATGAGAGTTTCATTTTCTGTTGTTTATTAAAACCACTGTTTTTCCCAAATGGATGATAGCTACATGGTTTCCCCACATGATTTGATACAACCGGATTTACATAATAATATTTGTTGAGAATAATGATTCCAGTGTCTGAAATTGTCCATCCAATTTTTTTTAAATTTATTTCCTGTCATTGGGAACAAAATGGTGGGCCCAGAACATTCCTGGAGGCAAAGTGTCAGGGTCAGAGCCTTGGTCTCAGGCCAGGCTGTGGGACCCGAGGGTGGTGGAGCTCTGGGGGCCATCCCTGCCCGGGCTCTGCGGGGCTCTGCCCTTGTGGGTCAGGGTGCCCAGCGCCAGCCCGCTCTCTCTCCCCTGCAGTTTACATCATCCTTGGCCACTTTTTCCTGCTGTCTGCAGTCGTCCTGTCTTTCCTCACCACCTTCAGCATGTGGTCCTTTGTGGCTCAGCTGTTTCCAAGGACCCAGAAGCACAACTTTGTGTTGGCCTTCACCAGCTGGGGAGGGGTCCCTGCACCAGGCAGGGAGCGGGGTAGCCTGTCTGAGATGTCAGGAGGGAAAGAATTTTTAGGGCTGCTCTCCTCTGCTGCCTTCTCTGTGAAGTAGCCCACCCCGACGCCTGCCCCTCAGGATTTACCATCCCTCTCCTTTGGGGCTTCTCAGTATTCTGCACCTCCAGCTGGCACAGCCCTTACCACGTTGGCTTGGGGTCATTTGTCTGGGCGTCTTTTTACCATAATCTCTATCCCAGCGATTGTCATAGAATCTAGCACAGAATTATAATATAATTGAAATATATAATATAAATGAAATATAAATGTTTCTTGGATGAATGAATGGAAGAGACCATGTCTGCCCTTTGGAACCTTATGGCTTTGACAAGTGACCAAGGGCCTACGCTGGGAGGCTCCCATCAGATGGAGGAGGTGGAACACTCAGTGTGGGAAAATCAGGTTGAGTTTCATCACAGTGTCCCACCCAGAGGGCCCACCTGGAGTCAGCCCAGGGCACGAACACAGAGGGTACCCAGGAAAGGGATTTCTGATTATGCAGCCCCTGGGAGGTGAGGCACATGGGCTTTGAGATAAGTTGGGAAGGAGGGCGAGACAGGCTTGTGTGGTGGCTCCAAGAGGGCAAGGGGTGCAGGCAGGAGAAAGGAGCCTCCATGCAGGAGCCACACAGGCTGTGGGCCACACAGCTCTGTCTGATTAAGTCCAAGGAAGGTTGGAGCGAAGGTGAGAGCCACGGGAGGAGAGCAAGAGTGCCCTCCCTGTGACCCTGCAGGGGCCTGTGCTTTCCTGGTCTTGTTGCTGCATGCCCTGGAGATCCAGAATCTGAGGGTGAAGCCCAGCACCCCCAGTTCTCCGTGCAGTGGCCTTAATACATCCTGGGCTTTGACATCTTTCTGCTCATAGTGGCTGGTGAGTGTCCTGGGGCTGCTCTCCCCTCTCCCTGCCCTCAGTCTGGATTCAGGAACCGTGGACGCTCTAGAGCTGTGCTGTGCAAAACTGTAGCCACTAGCTACTTGTGGCTATTTAACTTTAATTAATTAAAATGAAATAAAGTTAGAAATTCAGTTCCTCAGTCATCCTAGCCACATTTCAAATGTTCCATGACCACATCATTATGTGTCTAGTGGCTACCGTATTGGATGGTGCAGATACTGTGTAGAAATTTCCATCGTTGCAGTAACTTCTACTGAACAGCACTGCTTTAGAGCCTCAACCTTGTCCCCCATCCTCGTCCTTCTCATTCTTATCTGCCTTGACTTTAGAAGCAAACTTCTACATTCTCATGCTCTCCCCTACACCATCCTGGTTCCTAAGGCTTTCTGTTCCTATGGCTATCTTTATCTTAAAATCTCTGATCTTGTTCCTCATCTACCTCTTTTTACATACCATGACCATCTAAGCTCTTAATCTTATCTAATTTTCTCCCTACTCCTAATCCCTTTCCCACTGTATCAACCTGACCCATGATCATAATCTATTTTAACTTGATTTTATTATTGAATATATACAATTGAATACATTGAATATATAAAAATATTTATAACATATCTGTAAAATACAAGTAATTAAAAACAAACTGTACACCGATATTTCCACCATATAGTTTAAGAACTAGCCATATTTCATCAAATCCATTGTTTGTAAGTTATGTCCTTATTTTATGTACAACTAAGAGAGAAGAATTGATGTCAAGTATAATTCCTGTAAGGCACATCCTCATTTCAGAGATGTTAAAATGTGAAAAAAATTCGCTTGTCAAAATTAATGAAATATGATAGAACATTAAGTATCTTTGGAGTTTTCCCCCTCAACCATGTGGCTTTTCCTGATTTCGTCCTCTTGTCTACCTTCAAGGACCAACTATTCTGAAATTTATGCTAATCATATTTACTACACACATATATATCCTTAAACAATGTATTATTTAGTTTTGCATGCTTAAAAATTTTATATAAATATAATCATACTGTATTTCTTCTTCTGGAACTTGCTATATTTGATCAACATTATAACCTTGAGATTCCTCCATGTTAGTATGAGGAACTAAGCTTTATTCATTTTTATCACCTTAAGTATTTAATTGTATAACTAAGCTTGCCTGTAGAAGGATCACAGTATTTCTCTGTGGGAGAATTTTAAGCTCCTGATTCAGTTTCTTTAATGATTATAGGACTATTAAGGTATTTTTATGTCTTCTTGAGTCAGTTTTAGTAATTTATATATTTCTATAAATTTATACATTTTATCAAAGTTTTAAAATTTATTGACAAATTTACTCAAAATATTTTCCTTTTATATTTTTAAATTTGTGCTGCATCTATAGGTATGTACTTTTTTCATACTGAATTTTCTCTTTTTTGTAACCAATTTTGTCAGAGGTTTATCATTTTTTTAGTCTTTTCAAAGAACCAGCTTTTAGCTTTCTAGAACTTTCATATTTTATGTTTATTTTATATTTAATTAATTTTTGCTTCTTATTTTGAACTTCCCTCCCTACTACTTTCTTGCATTTATTCTGCTATTCCTTTTCCAACTTAAATCAAGATCTAAGCTCATCAATTATTTCTTCTTTTCTAAGCAGGCATTTAAAGCTTTACTTACCCTCAAAAGATTGCTTTATTTGCATCTCCCATTTTGATGTGTAATATTTTTGTTATTGTTCTATTTCAAATATTTTCTGATTTCCCTTATGATTTCTTCTTTGATCCATGAATTATTTTATAGTATACTTTTAAATTTCTAAGCATAGAATTTTTATGGTATCTTTGTGATAATGATTTTAACTTAATTTCAATTTGATGAGAGATCATGGTCTATATAATCCTAATATTTTGAGATTTATTGAGACTTGCTTTATAGCCTAGTTTGAGGTCCATTTTTATGTTTCATGTTCAATGCAAACTTTTATCTATAAACATTAGATCAAGCTTGTTTATTATATTGTTTAAATCTTGATTTAGAATTGTTATATTTTACTAGTGAATTGAATTTTTATCATTATGCTGTGATCCTCTTTATTTCTAGTAATGCTTTTTGTCGTAGAATCTGTTTTATCTGCTATTACTATAGCTACTTCTACATTCTTTACGTTAGTAATTACCTGTTATATCTTTTAATATTTTACTTTAAACCTTTCTCTGTCTTCATGTTTTGCACAACTCTTATGAATAGCTTATGATTGTTTTCTTTCATCCAGTCTTATAATCTTTGTCTTTTAACTGGAGCATTTAGTTGACTTACATATATT